AAAATGTTACTATTTTTGAGAAGATAGCGAGCACTAATTTAGGATAAGCTCACATCTTGGTACTCTCCTGTCGGAATCAGGTACTGCAGGATAAGCCTTTGATGCATTGTGATAGACAATGGATATATCTAAAGGCGAATGAATGAAATTGATATGAGACAAGCAAACTCTACGAAAACCACATCTGTTCACGTGAGTCTCAAATAAACATGCAAAGCTCACGGCCAGATGAGAGACGATTAATTGAGAAATTTGATCGTCTCTAGTATTGCAGCTTTCTAAGCTTTTCGTGATAACAAGAGATTCTCTCAAAGTCCCATTTATAAAATTATGGTAAAATGAAATAAGTCTTAAACTTACGAGCTTACATTACCTTATGAGTACCTATGACATAGGGTTGCATCACATTCCAAGTACTGTTGCTATTTTCAAAATTATGTAGCGATGCAAGTGATGGTACTTTGACCATCTCAACTGGAGTTTTCCGCTCATTCTGAAAATCAATCAAAATTCGCTCAAAAAAAGTTGAGCCCAGCATGAAATACGATAAAAACAATTTTTTTCAATGATATTTCAAGCAAAAGCAAGACCTTTGACATCTTCTTCTTTTTCTTCGGTGGAGGGGAACCATCAGGACTGACTCTAGTAGGAGCTGCGGGTGGTTGGACACGAAGGGAAGGCGCTGAAAGCAAAGACTATTTCATTATTCAAGAAAAAAGAGATAGTATGTTGTAAGAATGCTATCAACTGTCGTGTTTTCTAACACATAAATGACCATGAAAGCACACAATGCTCACTAAGTTTTAGCTTTTCTAGTTGTATCGATGTGACCAACGACATTTGGGCAAAGAAATCGGACACACTGAATCTGGATAACGTATCCATAGTATAATAGGATCTAACTTAGAGATGAAATAACATACTGTAAAGGGCCATCCTCAGAATATTTGGAAAACATTTAAAGAAAAGTTCCCCGGTACGCCGAATTTGAAAATAATACTTTCCTTGTCCCTGTATCCTCTACGCCAGAGT